ACTGGATGCTACATTCAGAGATCTTCAAACAGATCATATAAGAGATGGTTGAACCTTTAAGACCTCTTCCCCACAAGGGTCAACTGATAACATTAAGTCTCACAAATACCAGATCCACGGACAGGGGCAGCGGACATCGCGAAGCATCTCCTGGCTAGGACTAAACACTTACGTGTTTCTCCACCAGCTCTAATACCTAGGGTATTGCAGAAATCAGTCAGGCGAGAGACCCACAACTATTTGGGCACGCCTTTTGACCAGCGAGAATATGAATTCCTATTCTCATACAAGACCTAGGACTGCCTCTACTGCAACTACCAGAGTAATGCGAATCTACTAGTACATCCTCACACAAAGCAGGCACAGCAAACCGGAGGTGTTCGGCTACTGCGTGTGGACTGTATCAGGCATACTTGAACAAGAGAGGATATTTAAGCCAGAGCAGCGAAAGCAGTCACACTAACTGCATGAAGTCTTCGCGCCAACTTGTCTGGCGACAAGTAGTGATGCCGAAGAGACAAAAGATACGTTTGAGGATCGGCTTCACAGCCATGAAAGTGACACATCCTCAAGTGGCGGACTACCTTTGTCACCTAGACAAAGGAAGCGGTTAAAAGGGTCAACACTCTCAACATACCTAGCGGCATTGAGATCAGTTATCGTCATGAGGGGCGAGTGCAACTGACAAAAGTACCAGAGTTACTGGCCTTACTACGCCCTTTTAATTGGAGGACCAACATCAGAGATTTAAAGCTCCGGTATGGGACCTCAGCGTTGTTTCTCACGACATCTCACTAGTGACATCTACGAACCATTACAGAGAACATCATTAGAGTTCTTGGCGCTTGAAAGGCTGTTCCTGATAACCTTAGTAACAGCAGCAAGGATGTCGGAAATACATGCTCTGGATTTGAGGAGGACACGATTTGATGCAAATCAAATATCGTGCATATGGGACTGAGATGGGACTTCATAGCAAAGAATCAACTGCCAGGTCATCCAGACAGACAGTTCCGCGTCCCAACACTATCATCAGCCCTTGGACCACAGGATCACGCAGGTCTTATCCTTGTGCCCAATGCGAGCATGGAAAGTCTACCTACAGCGATCCAGGTCCATGAGGCGGTAATTCAAATGTCTTTTCGATGCCGATATCAACAGCGGCACAGGCGAAGGTCTTCTGCACTAAGATATCAAGCTGGATCAGAACTGTCATACTCACGGGCCTACAAAGCAGCAGGACTGGATCCTCCAAGAGCCTCCAACCACATGAAGTGAGAGCTCTGGCGTCAAGCGCTCTCTATACTTGGGAATGCGGCTCTATCAGGGCGATAATGGAGGACTGCTACTGGAAATTGGACATGGTGTTTGCCAACCACCACTTGAGGGACATCGCCACTGAGGACGGCTCTTACATTCACCATTTCGGCCCACTTATTGTAACACAACAATTGACAGTCCCACTAAAGCTGAGGCGGAGTCTCGCCTTTTATCGCATGACTTACTAAGCTTACACTCAGCGGAGTTCTGCTTAAGTCACAATGCACGTCTAACAACAAGCATAAGTGATATGACCCAGTACTTGTAAGGATACTTGTACAGGAATGGGTCGCTTCTCCAATTGGTGCTTGCATCAAGAGATAGAAAATCCACATAATATGTTAACAGAAGAAAGGACCAAAAGTTAACTATTGTGGTCCCCCCATTTAAAGGCAGCTGGAAGGTCAGGGTCGCAACAGCAGCAGAGTTCACCAGTAAATACAGTGCCATTCTGAAGTTCCGTGAGGGGGGTATATAATGACGTAAAATTCACTAAAGAAATCCTAAAGTGCTTTTCCACCACCTTTTCCGTGCCAGTTCTACAAGCAAAAGAGCATGAGTCAGGATAAGGAGAAATATGTAATTTTCTGAATAAAATTGATATTTTATACTTATCCTGACTCATGAGGTAAGCCCACACATCCTCCCCACTAGACACTTTGGATTTCCCTGCAAATTCAACTGTCGGGCTCATAATCAGGAGAGAGTGAGGCATGTGGGCACGGTGGCGCCACAGTTTCCCGCCTAAACGGCTGGAGAGATAACTCTTGGTAGGAGTGATTTTACGTCTATTCTTTATTGAAGGGAGCTTCAATAGGAGATACAAGTGTTCCACTATGTTCGCAAGAAGAAGAAGACAAGCAAAAGAGCATGAGTCAGGATAAGTATAAAATATCAATTTTATTCAGAAAATTACATTTTTGTAGTGACTACATATTACTAAATGCATACAATCAGGGTAAAGGTGAGAGCATCAGTTAATACTGATTGATTGAAATAAATGTCTTTTTTATTAAGTCTGATATGCTCATGATAAAGGCTTTGTGGGTTCTGAGCATTAGATATTCTAGAATTATACAGTTTATTCCTGACTTTGCTTACTGACTTATGATCTTGAAGTTTGGGGCCTTTACATTGGTCCTGGCCCAGAAGCACCCATGATTTAAAACATAACTTTTTGTAAATTTAATCTTTATTTCATTGTGATATTTTATGTAAAATAATATCGATGACACAATTTTCATAGCAATAATCTTTATCAGTTTATCCCACAGACAATATTTCTGATTATCAAGCTTTTGAGGGAGCCTTATAAATAACATAGGTGAATGGAGTGCAAGATATGGACAACCAGTCGTGTGATATGTGTGCCAGTGCTTCAAGACATGCAACTGTCTGAAAGGATACCAGACATGTGCTGGAGGAGGAGATGCCAAATGATGTGTTTTACCAACCACACTTTATTCTAATTAGAACTTCCATCATTTTCAGTAAACAATGTTACTGAGTTTGTAAAATGTGATGATTTGAAACAGTGTTAACCATGTCTAGGCATCATATGACCACGGTTACAGACACCATTGATACACTTGGTACAGCTGGATTATTTCTGACATGTCCATCTAAAGATGTTTCATATAGTTACATCCTGGTGTGTTACCAAGCCGTATTGTTTGGTGTGGCCACGTCTCTGCCGCTCTTAAATAGATTAAATTTGAAATGTTTTTTTTGTTTCAAGTCAGCCACATAGTTGTTTCCTTGATTTGGAGTAGGGATGCAGCAATATGGAAGGCCATGAGAAGATATGTATCTTGATACATTGTTCATGACCGGCCAGATTCGTGACACTTACATGTTTATTTCAGTCTTAATTCATATGAGGGGAAAAACTGGTGACAGACTGGTTTCTCTTATGTTGAGTCCATCACATGAGGTAAAAGTAAACCAAAATATCCCAAATAGCTGATTTTGCAGGACAAGCTTATGTTTATCCCGAAATATATGGTTATTCCTCCATCAGTAAAAGAATCTGTATTTTGTGTAATGTATCATGTTTATCATATCAAAAGCCACATAACCATGATAAAATGCTGCATCAGAGTTTTAGTTTATTGTTTCACCCAAACAGCTTACTCTCCAAGTAGCACAAGCATACTGATGTCAAAACAACATGGGTACAATGTGTGAAGCTCATTCCTGGTGTGCCCCTGACATATTGCTGGAGTACTTCTGAAAGTGGAGTAAAACTACACTTACTCACTTGTCAAATTCGAAATATGCAACTCTTAAATTAGCTGTTTACTCTCTTTTTTATATCAGAAAATTGACGAACTGAAAGGAAGAAACCTATCCCGATCTGAGTGAATTATGTCCAGCATTATCAATGTTACTTCATGCAAGACAGATTATGCAAAGTCTTTAACTTAAAGTTTGAGTTGTGAGGAGATTATGCTTATTGCTCATTGCCTTCTGTCTGAGAATGTTTGAAAACAAGAGCTTCTTGACATCAGTTTATGTAATATTGGAAATAAACTCCCATTCTGTCTTGTGTAACATCGCAAACAATGGGTGACGTCATCCTGGCCATTTTTAATGATTATATATATGCAGCTCTGCATGTCCTAGCCAATCTGTGTGAAACAGTCTTTAGGGGTTTTTACATAGTCTTGGCATCTCACTCTTCACTCCTGATTTATTGGAATCATCTGAAAAACATGAAAGTATTTTTAGGAAACCGTTTGATTTCATGTCAGGTTCATACTAAAGCAGCGTGATGAGTGAGTGAGTGAGTTTAGTTTATGCTGCACTCCGCAATATTCCAGCTATATGGCGGCGGTCTGTAAATAAACGAGTCTGGACCAGACAATCCAGTGATCAACAGCATGAGCATCGACCAACAAAACTGGGGTACGATGATATGTGTCCACCACATCAGCGAGCCTAACCGCCCAATCCTGTTAGTCGGCTCTTACAACAAGCATGGGTTACTGAAGACCAATTCCAACCTGGATCTTCACGTGTCTGCAGCATGATAACTTAGTACTAGACCATTGTCACAAACTAATTTGTATATCATATGACCTGACGTTTCCTTGTATGTAAAGGATACTTATATTGATATCAGAGCAGACTGGTCAAAAGCAAGTTTTTCTGTGCACTTTACATAATTTCTGCTTAATTTTATAGACATGCCAACTGCACAGTGAGAAGTATGGCAATGTATCTAGATTTTTTTGCACCTAATTGACAGTATCACTAGTTCTCCATACTGCTTAGATGACAGCTTCGAGCTTTATTATTGTAAGCAATGGTGGTTTGTAATGTTGTGTTGCCAACACATTGAAAATAGGTCTGTATGATGACAAAATGTGGCAGCAAATATGTTGGAATCTTCCATGTGAAAACTCGAATTATCAGGCCATAAGTGTGTTAGTTTTTCAGATGAAGAAGGAATAATAATTAACTCTGAAACATTGTGCATCGTCCAAACAAATCTTTGACTCATGTTCATCACCTCTAAATGCCCTACAAAGAACTACATGTAGTAACTTGTTGATAAACATTACAGCTTGCAATGCATGATGGTTATATTTGGATGTAGCCATTGTAGGTCACCTTGCTTACACTTTTCTAACAGACGACAGGCACTGTAAACTTGGCATTATCTCCACTTGTTTCAGTCTGGACAGTGGGATGCGCAAGAAGAGCAAGAAGAAGAGGAAAAAGCCACGAGACATTGAGCGATCCAGCGGCGACTCTGACAGCCAGGTGATCAATGATGAGGAATATGATGGGAAAATCAAGCTGGTGGAGGGCAATGCTGATCAGTCACAGTCAGGCATGGAGGCCGACTCTGAGAGCCAGGGACCACGGGAGAAGAAGAAGGAGAGCCCCAAGAACAAACACTCAGTGTCAGAAGATGCTCCAGAGGAGGGTCAGGTGATGAAAACACCACTAATCCTTTCTTTCCAGTAGCTACAGGGATTTGTATACTTCACTTGTGTTTTACCCTGAGGCCAATGTTCAGTCCCAACCGTCAGCATAAGTCAGTTAAAAATCCCCAAGTGGAGTTAAGTGTTGCATTCTTTTTCAGAGAGATCGTCCTTGGGGTACATATATGCATTTTCTGCGGCTGAAAATGTCCTGTGACAGTTGTATCAATGTTTTAATAAAAATATTGTACAATAAATAAAATCTTTTTTATCTATTATACGGCCCCCACCACGTGGAGTTACCTCCCTGCTACGCATGCGCAGCCAACCAGGTCCAGGTCGGGTCCGACGCCTCGGCTATCCCGGAGGGGGAGGGTTCGCTCCCAGTCCCCCTCTCGGTGTTGGCGCAGGGTCCGTTGAGGATTCCTGGGGTTCCGTTCCCTGTGCCGCCCCGGCCCGCCCCATGAGAGCGGAGGAACCAATTCTGCCTGGTCTTCCTCCCGTGTCTCGGGACCGGGGTTCGAGTGTGGTGTTGGTTGCCGGAGCGAGGAGTTCCTTCGGCTCTTCCCTTCCCTCTGTGTCCGGTGCTCGGCCTCCCACCGGGTCGGGGTTCGGGTCCTCTTCGCGAGGAGACCCGGCTTCTGACTCGGGCTCTGGTGCCGAGTCTATGGACGTTGGGGAGGTCGAGGAGCCGGCGGGCACTTTCCATTTCTCGATGGCTCTGCGGGAGGTGCGGCAATGTATTGCCGAGTTCATTCCCCAGACCGCGGTACCCGCCAGTCACTCGGACTCATCTGAGTTCTGCCTGCCGGGCGAGGCGTTTGCCCTTAGGCAACCCTCGCAGACACTGCTCCGCATCTTGCCTTCCCTGGTGCAGGACGTGATGTATCCCCTCCGACTTGCCCGAACTCGTCAAGAGGTACCAGCTGGGGGACGATTCGCTGTTCTTTGTACCGGTGGTTGACGAGTGTGTGTTTTCTTCGGTCGCCCTGTGGGGAGGCTCCCCTGCGGCAGGCTTACTGGACTTATGAGGAAGTCTATCGGAATGCCATGCAGCAGGTGAGGGTGGTGATCCATGAGGCCTACCTTTCCTCTATTCAGAGGTCGGCCCTGGGGGCTGAAGGGAACGCTGGGGACGTATCCCCACATGTTGTTCTGCTTCGCCAGTTATCCGAAGTACAGGCCCACCTAGTGCGCGACTCCTTGCGCAAGCTGTGGCTGTCGACGTCTCGCTACTCGGCAGCAACACAGCAGACCTTGCTAGCCCTTCCGTTCCGTCTGGGAGCGACGTTGTTTCCTGGGGCTCAGCAGGTCATTCAGGAGGCTGCTGCTGCAGCTACCGCCTTCAAGGATTCTAAGGCCTTGTTGGAGCATCCGCGGGCTTCTCGCCCCTGCGCTCCCGTCACGGCTTCCTCCTCCGGGGTGCAGCCTACACCCGAGTCTGCCGGCTGGCTTAGGCCGCTGAGCAGGGGCAGGCGGAGGAGCTGTCCCGCCAAAGGTAAGGTCAAGGAGCAGTCCTCTTCGTCTGGCTCCCAACCTTTTCGCGGGCTCAGGAGGTTTGCCCCGACCTCCCGTTAACCCAACAGGCTGTCGCCATGGGTCCGTCCCAGACAGTTCATCTGCTCGAGACCACTCACGCTCTCTTACCACACGTCCCAGTGGGGGGCCGCCTCTCTCTATTCCTGCCGGAGTGGGAGAAGGTTACCAGCAACACTTTGGTGCTTTCCACCGTCAGTGTCGGCCATCTACCACTGTGGAAGCGAGGCCCGCCAGAATGCACTCCGGTGCCGTCATGTCAGGTCAGGGCGGGTATACTGCACGACGAAGTTCAGGCTTTGCTGGACAAGTCCGCAATAGAGCGCATACCACCGGGCGAGGAACAGGCGGGATTTTATTCCCGTACTTCCTTGTTCGGAAGAAAGACGGCGGGTTCCGTCCCATTCTCAACCTCAAGGGGTTGAATCGCATGCTAGAGGTTCCATCCTTCCAAGATGGAGACACTTCGCTCGGTGATCTCCTCTGTTCAGCCTGGCGATTGGCTTACGTCGATCGATCTAAAGGATGCGTATCTACATGTGCCCATTCATCCATCGTTCAAGCGATACCTCAGGTTCTCTTACGACAGGATGAATTACCAATTCACAGTGCTCCCCTTCGGCATATCCACTGCCCCCAGGGTGTTCACCAAGCTCATGTTAGTGCCAGCTACCCTCGCTCGATCGCAAGGAAGGCGTTGTTACCCTTACCTCGATGACTGGTTGCTCAGCGCTAACTCAGCCAGCGAGCCTAGATTCTACTCACAAGGTGATAGACATTCTAGTTTGACTGGGGTGGATCATCAACCTCAAGAAATCCGACCTGGTACCCACCCAGGACTTGGTTTTTCTCGGGGCCCGGTTCCAAACTCACAAGGATCTTGTCTCCTTGTCGCCCGACCGGGTCACCAGAGTACGGGAGATGGTGTCTTCGTTCTCTCTCCCAGCCCCAGGCACCAGCGCGGACTTGGCTCCGTCTACTGGGCCATATGGCGGCGACTATCTCTGTAGTGTGGCGGGCGCGGTTGAGGATGCGCCCTATACAGCAAGCTTTGGCGAGTCTGTGGGCTCAGTCGGAGGATCTGGAGCAGTCTCACAGTCCCCGGATGGTTGTCTCCTCACCTTCAGTGGTGGACCAATGTCGGGAATCTCTCCAAGGGGATCCCTTTGGAAATCCCGACTCTGCTCCAGATCCTCTGAGTGAGCCCACAGACTCGCCAAAGCTTGCTGTATAGGGCGCATCCTCAACCGCGCCCGCCACACTACAGAGATAGTCGCCGCCATATGGCCCAGTAGATGGGGTGTTCTGGGCAGTCTGTCAGTGTCCGGACTCTGGTCCGAAGCCGAAGCCGAAGCCCGCCTTCACATCAACGTCTTGGAACTGAGAGCTGTGCGGTTGGTTTTCGAGCGCTTCCGGGAGCATGTTCAGGGCCAGGTGGTTCGTCTTCAGTTGGCTAACCGTACGGCCATGACGTACATCCTGAAGCAAGGCGGCACGGTGTCCCTAGTGCTCCTTCGGGAGACGTGGGAGTTTCTCCTCTGGTGCGACCAGTGCGACTGTCAGGTGCTTCCTGTTTATCTCCCGGGGCTGGAGAACGTGCGAGCAGACGCTCTCTCTCACTGGATCCTGGCCCCGCCCCAGTTGTACGGATCGTTCCAGGTGGATCTGTTTACGTCTGGCGGGACAAATCAGATACCTGTGTTCTGCTCTCGAATACCGAACCAGAGGGGCGTTGGCTTCCGACGCCTTCCTGCTGGATTGGACGGGCAAAGTGCTCTGGGCGTTCCCGCCGCTACCACTCATTCCCCGGGTCCTCTCCCAGCTGTCCACCCAGCCGGCTCGGCTACTTGTGCTACTAACACTGTTATGGCCGTCACAGAGCTGGTTTCCGGTAATTCTCAGGTTTCTGGATCAGCCTCCTGTTCTATTACCTTTGTGACCGGACATTCTCACTCAGAACGGCGCGCTATACCCGAATCCAAGGATTCAGTGGGTGGCTTGGCCTCTGTCAGGTCTAGCCTCGAAGCACGCGGAATTCCTGCAGCAGTTGCAGACACAATTCTGGCTTCGAGGCGGGATTCGACAAACATTCAGTATGAGGATAGGTGGTCCCGCTATGCGCGCTGGTGTTCAGATAAGGGGATTGCAGATCCCTTTTCTGCGGATTTAGTCCGAGTATTGGAGTTTTTGCAAGCTCGTTTGGAAGAAGGCTTGGCGGCTTTTCGACCATTCGCGGCTACTCCACCGCTATTTCCACTTTTCACACCCCTGTCGAAGGTGCTCTTCTGGGGGCAGCACCCTCTCATGCAGCGCTTTTTAACTGGCGTGGATCGGGTTCAACCTGCTGTCAGGCGAACCAGCCCACCTTGGGATTTGTCAATTGTGCTAGATTGGCTGTCCGGTCCTACGTTCTCACGTCTATCGGCAATTTCCATTCAGTTGTTAACATGGAAGGCTGTATTTCTGGTGGCGGTAACATCTGGATGTAGGGTCGGCGATTTACATGCTATGCCGGCAGGCCCGGTGCTGACTGTGTTCCATCCCAATCGTGTCAGTATTCGCCTCCCGGATACTTACCGCCCGAAGGTGGCTTGTTTCGGTCATTTGTGCTGCTTATCAGGCTAAGGGCAAGCCTCCCCCGAGGGGTTGAAGGCTCACTCGGTCAGGGCAGTAGCTACGTCAAAAGCTTTTGCATTGGCACTACCCATTGAAGAGATATGCTCTGCCGCTATTTGGAGCCGGCCTAGCACTTTTATCAGGCACTATCAGGTGATCGTGCACGTTTTGGCCGTTCTGTTCTCTCCAGTGGACAGTGTCCTGCCACCCTGACCGAGTGAGTCTTGGTTATCTGGTTAGTTGACGCTGCTTTCAATTGTGTTTATTGATATGTCCGCTGTTGTGTGATCTAACTCCTTTCGATTCTCTCCGGAGATTATGGTCGGTTGTGAGTTGGTTTTTCCCCCCTACGGTGCTCTCTAATAGACCATGATGTGGGTAGGGTTGTTTATTTTCGCACTGTGTGCTAACTTGCTATGCTTAAAGAACCACTAAACTTTGTTTTTTGTTACTCTTTTAACTATTACATATGAAAGATTTGTGGTTAGTCTTATGCGGAACACCAAATTTATTCTTTAAAAACTTGTGGTTAATTAATACCGAGCGATTAAAAGTGGCCAAAAAGTCGCCTGCTTCCCTCTCGCCCGCCAACGAAACCACAGACAGGTTACGTAACTCTGTCGCCAGAGCACTGCAGTGACGTCATATGAGGAACGATTTTCAGTTAGTTGTATAGAAAATGTGTAGCACGCTCATCATTTTGATGATTTTCGACATCAACGACGACATGCCGAATCGTTGCTTTGTCGTCAATTGCTCCTAGGGTCGAGGCGATGGTGTCCCCATGCACAGATTTCCACAGGACCCGCAGTTTCGTGCTAAATGGGTTATGTTTGTGAGTCTTGGCGGCGTTGTGGAAGCCTGAAAGCGATATCTTACTTGTGTTCAGATCGCTTCCACGGAAGTTAAAGAATCAAAACTACTTACTAGTTGTAGTAAAATATCTATATGATTGATGACCATAAAGATTTTCTATGACACAACTTGTAACATAGCGATTTCTTCCTCGAAGTGAGGTTGTGGTCGAAGTAACAATAATATTGTAAGTAGTATTATATTGACACCCACCTCGCTGCCACGAGAGAAATTGTTATGTTATACGCTTATGTCATGCAAAATCCTATTGGCCATCAATAAAATACATATTTTACTACCAGTAGAAAAGTAGTTTTGATTTTATAACTTCAGTGAAAACAAACCTAAATACCATTTATCCTCAGACTGGCGGATGTTCCCGATAGAGCGCATACGCCATTTTGAAAATCGTAAAGTCTGTTAGAATTAATGAGATTATAGTTTGTTTTCATCAAGTTAGAAAATCAAGACTACTTTCTACTTCGTAGTTAAATATGTATTGGAATCATAACCAAACGGATTTTGCATGACACAACTTACAACATAGCGATTTCTTCCGCGAGGCGAGGTGGGGGTCGAAGTCACAATACTCTTGCGATAAATTTCTTGCTACATTCCCATGGTTAATGTCCACTCACCAGTATGTAGATACTAGTCAGTAATGCGTCTTTATATTTGGTCTTATAATCCTAATTAGTTTATTATCATACTTGTATGCATTTTGAAACTAAATAAAATGCAGACGATCTGCTGATACTTATAGTGAATTTATAACAGAACTGTAATATCTAGACATTTTATAGTTTGCCAATGTGAATCATAATTTAGCACACACACCCTAGTGCATGTTGTCTGTCTCATTACACTTCCGGCGAAAACAATGATTCTGTTGAATGCTCACGACAAATGAATAAAAACATAATGCAAATATTAAAATTAAAACAGATTAAAGTTATAGGAACAATATCAGGCCATTACCTTGTTGAGGAATGTATCCATCAATATCCACAAAACTGTTCCAAATGATGTGTCTTTTAACAGTTTAATATCTGAAAAAAGTGATAAATCTTTTCAGGTATTGGTGTATAGTCTCATTGGTCACCCAAGATAGCACACCTGGCAACTAATTGCATAATGTCGCCTTTCTTTAAAAACAGTAATTTAGTTAGCCAATAATGGGCAATCAATCAATGTATTGCGGTTAATCCTTTGAAAGAAGGACGTTTTTACGCTTGAACCCGACCACGACAGAGTGTATTCAGTATAGATTAGTAAATCTACATACATAAACACTACCATTTGACAATTCCGCTGTGTAAGATAAAAGTAATTAATCAATCAGCGTGTTATCGGTTAATCCTTTGATCGATGTTTATAATGTTTAATATTTACTCCAGACACAAGAAATGCCAAATGGGAACCTTTGTCGGGTAATCTAAGTGTGTTACCACTAATTATACCTGTTATAAATTCATTAACTGACCATCAAGTGAATGATGACAAATAACATGTGTAGGTTTATACCGCCTAACACGGGTTACAACAAGGGAGTATTAATTGCTGTATTGCATGTGAAAACTTATGGGCCGACACTGTTTTGAGAATACAAACAGATTTTTACATGACATGATTAAATATCGAGGTAAAAAAAACACAGAAATGGGATCAATTTGGATCAGTCATTATACAAATAGGGCCCTAACGACACCAATCGATTTTGACAGAATCGTCTATGAAAACAATGTCGGTTACCCTCCCATAATGCCTCTCGCGGAAGCTCCGGGACATTTGACAGGTGAGTGTTGTGGCGTCTGTTACATTATTCTTAACGATCGCTATTCATGTGTACTTTGACAGAATTCCCTCCTCCCTGGCCTCCGGTCTTTGGGAGTCTGTGTTTATGCATATATGTACCCCAAGGACGATCTCTCTGAAAAAGAATCAACTAAACCTGCAGAGGTTTCTAATTCTTTGAAGAGAGTCGTCCTTGGGGTAGGGCCGCCCACCTCCCCGCAATTCTGTTCACTGATTTATTCAGCAGAAGGAATTATGATACGGGCCTAGGTGCTTACCTGGTTGGCTGTGCATGCATAGCAGGGAGGTAACTCCACGTGGTGGGGGCCGTATAATAGATAAAAAAGATTTTATTTATTGTATAATATTTTTATTAAAACATTGATACAACTGTCACAGGACATTTTCAGCCGCAGAAAATGCATATATGTACCCCAAGGACGACTGTCTTCAAAGAATTGGAAACCTCTGCAGGTTTAGTTAAATTTCATGCTGTTGTAGTTGGAAGTATTGGTATGTTTGATAACAGAATACAGCCGCAGATGTGTCAACCCTAACTAATAATGTTATTTGATGGCATACAAATGTGTATGAAGATATTGAGTGGTTAGTTTCACTTTTTATTGCATATATTGCAATGTTAAAATATCTTTGAATTTTTTTATCCCCCCGGCTTGTAATGCTGGTAGATATAATAAAAGCCTCGTCCTCCGTCAGTCCATAATGCTTTTGTTTCCGGAGCATAACTCAAAAAAGGTTCAATATTTTTCAACAAAACTTGGCAGATATATCAAACAGAACCTAGAGTGATACCTTTTGGTATTTACAGATTTTTGTCATTTTTATTTTTGTCGGTTTCCATGGAAACTTGTTTGACTTAGTCTCAAAAGGGAGGGGTTGGCTTCGTTTCCGGAGCAAAACTCGATAACCTTTCAACAGTCTAAGTAAACTTAGGCTCAGTATTATTCGTTACACTGCAATACTGAGTCTAACAAAACCTAGTGGAAGGACGCGTCAGATAACCTTTGAGCGACCTATGACCATCCAATCAAACGCGAGACGGCCGAACTGATTTAACCAATCAGACAACGACTACTTGTTACGGTTTGATGGCACTTACAAAGCGGTTTTGGGATTTTCTCTTCCCTGGTCGCTGACACTGATCTATCAACAAACGAAAATGCGCATAAAACACAGATATTTGACATGCAGCATATACGGTTATGTGTTTCTAATGACATGGTTACTATATGCTTATATTTTCCCAAGATGACATCATTGAATATTGACAAAAATGCTATTTTCAGCGACTATTTACTCATTGAGTGTATCACTCGGAAGCGATCGCGCGGAAAATAGCATTCGGAATCGTTCGAGTTTTTAGGTAAAGGTTCAATATGAGCGAATGATAACTTTCGCAATTTGGTAAGCTGTGTTCTGATTGGTCAGTCCAAAAGGTTAGCTGACGCAACCTTCTACTAGGTTTTGTTAGACTCAGTATAGCAGTGTAACGAAAAATACTGAGCCTAAGTTTACTTAGACTGACCTTTCAATATCTTTCATCAAAACTTGGCAGATATATGAGGCAGATCCCAAAGTGGTGCCTTTGCTATTTGCAGATTTTTGTCATTTTTCTTTTTCTTGGGTTCCATGGAAATGATTTGGACTTAGTCTCAAAAGGGAGGGGTGGGTTTCGTTTCCGGAGCACAACTTTTCAATATCTTTTTACGAGGCTTGGCAGACATATCAAACAGATCTTGAAGTGGTGCCTTTTGCTATTTACAGATATTTGGCATTTATATATTTCATGATTTCCATGGAAACGACTTAGTCTAAAAAAAAAGTCAAGTTGGATTTTAAGTAACTGTCAGATGATTTGTTCTACTACTTACAAAATTAAATAACTTCTCCGTTTGCCTTCCAAGAGCACATATAATGGATAGTTTCCTGGATTAGGGCTCCCCATGCCTGCCAACTGATGAGGAGGATTAGGCGGTTGAAGTATGTGACCTAGTTGTGTCATCACTGGTTTATAGTACAGTTTTTTAGAGGCCAGTAGTGTTGCACAACATCCACTTTCTGTTCTCTCACCTCATTTTTGGCATGCCTGGGAAAGAAAAACAACAACTTTGAAAATGTTCAAACTTAAAATATTAAAATATTGCTGAATAAACATCCTTCGTTAGATATTGACCAATTCTGTGCAGGTATCCCTGTGGGGACTGGAGACTTTTTCATAAAAGGAATGGAAAACTCCTGGTCTAAATGAGGGTCTGAGTGAGTTTGGTTTTACGCCGCACTCAGCAATATTCCAGCTATATGGCGGCGGTCTGTAAATAATCGAGTCTGGACCAGGCAGTCCAGTGATCAACAGCATGAGCAGCGATCCATGCAATTTGGATATGATGACATGTGTCAACCAAGTCAGCGAGTCTGACCACCCAATCCCATTTGTCACCTCTTCCGACAAGCATGGGTTACTGAAGACCAATTCTAACCTGGATGTTCATGGGTCCTGGTGTAAATACTCCAATGTATTCCTGTGTGTTTCCAGAGTAATCTGCCAATGGCGGGCCTGCAGCAGATCCAGAAAGCAGTGGAGTTCCTCACACTTCAGCAGGGTGCCCCAAAGAGCATTGAAGAGGCTAAAAAGAAGAAATTCCATTTCTGGGAAACCCAACCTGTTCCCAAATTTGGTGAGAAGAAATAATTTTAATGCTCAAGTTCAATGTGTCGGTCAAATCAAAGTCTGTGTGAATACATAATACATAACAGATTGTAGTACACGTAACCAAGGTAACTGGGTAATAGCATTAATAATTATCATTATGGACTAAGAATGCCATTGACTTGGGAGCATTGTGTCCAAGCATAATCAGAATGAAGCCTTGTGCTTTTCTTAACATTGGGTTATCCTTATGTTGCCTTTCAAGTTGGAGGGATGTTTTTGGATTGTTAGAGTAATTGTTTTGAGTTAATACCCTCGATATATCCATGAATAGTGTGTGTATAATTTTACGCTGCTTTTAGCAATATCACAGCAGAGGGCACCAAAAATGGGCTTCACACATAATACCCATGAGGGAATCAAACCCAGGACTTTGGTGTGACAAGTGAACCACTAGGCTACCCTATCATTCCCTGAATGGAAATAGCACTCGATGATAGAGAAGAGCCAGTGCGTCGATAAGATGTGACAGAAATATGGTCAGGCATTCCATTTGCAGCATTGGCCTTAAATTTGCTAATTGAAGAAAGGTTTGTGTCTGAAGATTAATGGGGTTTTTCTGTTTTAAGATGAGAAAATAACTGCTAATGAAGAAATTGAAGCTGACAAGCCAACAGGAGAGATCAGACAAGAGAGCTACTCCCTACCTCAGGGCTTTCAGTGGGACACACTTGACATAAGCAATCCTCTCATTGTAAGTATAATCATACCTTTCAAAATATCCCCTATCAGACAGTTGTTTTCTTCATTTCAGTAATGAGTATATTTGTAGTTTATGTTGTTAGCTAAACAGTTGCCAGCTGAACTCTGCTTTGATGCTTTACAAGTATTACATTAGAGACGTCATTAGAGTCAGTCATAGCCAACAAGGAACTCTGAATTCTGTGTCCCAAATAAATTTATATTGTCAAAGCTTTGGCAAGGCTTATTACTCAGTCTTGCTTGAGACAATGAAGAATAATGTGGCTTTCCTGGAGACATCAGGTTGTTGGAATAACAGCACACCAGCACATGAGCCATCATGGACAACAGAATGTGTCATCTCCAGTTATTTGCGTCAATGTGGTCATAGAAACTTGCAGTGATGTTGCTGTGGTCTTCTTCACAAACAATGAGAACTGTGGAAGATTTATTATAATGTTCAGCAAGGATTACGGAAAATAACGTCACATATGTCTGCCACTACAGTTTGTGGCAAACGTTTGTGATATATTGAGGAGGTATTGAGATCTGATTGTAGTGAGATTGAACTTGGTGAAAACGTGTATACTTGATTAGATGAGTAAACAGTCAACAAGAACATATGATGATGATTCAGTGAGTCTGACCTGCTCAAACTGAGAACTGTTTCCATTTCAGTTGAAAGAGCTGTACACACTCCTGAATGAAAATTATGTAGAAGATGATGACAACATGTTTAGATTTGATTATTCTCCAGAATTTCTCCAGTGGTAAGTCTAGTTTGAATGGTCTCTATAACAATAACGACGAATATTTATACCTTTGAAGTTTGTAGATATTTATTCTACACAAAGTGGTACCTTGTCTTCATTTCATGCATGCATATATTATCTGCAAAGCTCACAGGTCATACTACGATTTTAAGCTAAGGAATGTTGGTCACCAAGAGTCCTTGAATCAGTTTCTACTACTAGGACTTCGGTCAAAACCCACACTAAACACATGTTGCACATGTAATGTCTCCTTCAGCGAGTGATTTCGTATGAACTTGGGAACTTTAAATTGGCTAATTGGGATAAGATTGTTACCTCATGATTCATCACAGGCAGCTTCTGTTGTATATTCCCCAGGGAGTTGAGAATGGAAATGGCATGACTTCTAAGCATTGTATTCAGATGGTAAAAAGACAAGATTTACTAACTATATATGCATGTAGTAGTGGGACATACCTGTCTTTGTGAGTAGACACAAGTTTTATATGGGAGCCTGAATGTGGAATCTGTTGTTTGCAGGGCTCTTCAACCTCCAGGCTGGATAAAGGACTGGCACTGTGGTGTGAGGGTCACAAAAAGTGGAAAACTTGTTGGCTTCATAAGTGCTGTTCCTGCTCACATCAAAATATATGAAAGGTTTGTACGAGTAGAAATTGTCAGCTCTTTCCAGCTGTAGTATAGAATTGGATCCAGCATTGCTTCCTGATAAATGCTGAGGGAATAATCACTCCAGTTTGGGTTTTTGTAAAACTTTGAGCATGTTAGTTTTTGTTAATGTTAATAGGTATTCCCCAGCATTTAGTTTGTATGTACATAAACGCATAATTACTGTTTAAGTCAGTTTTTTATATAGAAAAAAGTCAACAATAATAATTTCACAGACTTCTCAACAATAGTGCAACTCAGGCCTCAGTCAATCAGGAAACAATCATTTGTTTTGTGGGACTTGATTTCTTTTGTTAGGTTTATGGAAACGTAAATATCAAAACAATAACCATGAAGTCACCTACAACTTGATTTATTTCACCAGCAATAGTTTTATATGTGTTTATTTACTCTGTGTCTTTTTCTTTTTGCAGAAGAAAGAAAATGGTAGAAATAAATTTCTTATGTGTGCATAAAAAGTTACGATCAAAGCGTGTTGCCCCGGTGCTGATCCGAGAGATCACAAGACGGGTTCATCAACAAGGGTTGTTCCAGGCTGTGTATACGGCTGGCGTGGTCTTACCAAAACCTGTAACGTCTTGTAGGTGAGTTGGCACCATTTCTGTAGAATCTGCATGCATATATGATGTAAAACAACTTGGTTACTGAGTGTATTTTGTGTCCATTCTGTAATAATAAATACCCTGGACCATTTCAGCATCATAGAGCTTTATTCAGGAAGTGTTATCTCCTCACATTCTCTGAATAGAAACAGCAAACAGAATTTCTCATCTTCTTTGGTCTAATTTGAGTGGATGACTGCTTTTAGCATTGCTGTTTTGAAATCAGTTAAAGCAAAGCTGTGGATGCAATGGATTCCAGGGTTAAACAGATAACTGACAATGAAAACTTTATGGAGTTGTTCAAATGAGATACCTTGATGAAAACCACACCCCTGCTAAAGATTAATTGTAAAAACATTGACATTTTAGAAAGAAAACGACACTAGTTTAGTTTAGATTTAGAAAGTGAAAAGTTACTGATTTGTTCAGTGACTTGACCAAAGATCACATGGACTGTTACCTATACTTTGTATAACTGGTGATGTTTTTCTTTCTAGGTATTGGCATCGATCACTAAATCCACGGAAACTAATTGAAGTGAAGTTTTCTCATCTTAGCCGTCACATGACTATGCAAAGAACTCTAAAGCTGTACAAATTACCAGAGGTGAGGATACTACAGTGTTACATACACATGATCCATTGGAAGGTCTGTCTAGGGGAGGTTTGTCAACACGGCCCAATTCACTATGCAATGTGCCTCCTTGGGCATGCCAGAACCCTATGTTAATGAGTTCAAATCCTTGTTCGCCCTGTTTTTGTCCCCAGGATTGTCAGCAGCATACCTGTGCTTGTGGGTAAATGTCTCACACCAGCATCATTTTGGGTTTTCCTCCCATAGTAAGCTGTCACGCTCTAGTAGGATGGAATACCGTGAAAAGCTTTGCTAAACCTAACTCAGCCTTTTGCTCACTTACAGTGTAGCTTTGAAGGCATTTGAACTTTGAATCTTCCTTGAAAGTCCTCGAATTTGGAGACCATGGTTATCTCTGCTCTTAAATGTATATATTAAAAAATGTATAGGAAATCAAAAAGGATTCAGTTACTCATGTTTCTGGAAATACTCATATTAAATAACTCTGACTGTTGATCTTCTGTGCAGTATCTGAACTCATAGTTTATGAGCATTGTGCTAGTTCTATCTATAAAAACTTTCTTCTCTGCTTTCAGTCCCCAAAGACTCCAGGCTTTCGGCCATTCACACCAGCGGATGTCCCAGAAGCGTACAAATTGTTAGCATCGGTAAGGACACAGTAAACACAGAACTGTCACTTCTCTGTGTATTTACCTGTGATAATGCCATTATCTCATTTAAGTCCAATCGTTTACCTAAATTCTGCCTAATGTTGAAAAATGTTTGATTCTGATTGGTTGGAGAGAGATCTCTCTTTCCTATTGCGCAGATCGATGCTTATGCTGTTGATCACTGGATTGTCTGGTCAAGACTATTATTTACAGACCGCCGCCATATAGCTGGAATATTGCTGAGTGCGGCGTAAAACTAAACTCACTCACTCACTCCTAAAGAAAATATATTAGGACTTTTTACACAAAAACTTTGCATATGAATATATTGATCCATGAAAAGTGGCCTCACTATTAACATCTGACAAATTCTGACTAGCACACAAGGAAGTGAAATCAGGTAGACCCAGAGATACCGTTGACCATTTTGTGTTTTTGAGCCAGTGAGATATCTGTTTTCTAAAGTGCTTTGACTTCATTGTCTGGCAGCCATGGACAGTACTTTACGGGAAGAATGACCAGTCTTTCAATCACTTCATCAAAATTATTAAAGTTATGTTCTGGGGTTTTAACTGAATCAGTGGTAGAAGGAAGTGTGGGCTCAGCTGACTGCAATATCCAGCTTATGAGAAAATACACATGGTAATCCTAATCTATGCGTATTAAATAATCCCTAGCAGAACACGAGATATACTGATAAAATAATTGGCAAATCATTTAAATTTGTTATTGACCGAGTTTGTTTATACACGTTCATCTGTTTGTTCCTGAAATTCGCTGAAAGTATACAATGTACATGTAGTGATATGTGCATTATGTTTGGATGCGCCACATTACTCAAGAAGATATGGCATTTCGAATGTTGGTGGACCGCCTCCGTGGTGGAGTGGTTAGAGCGTCCGCCCGGAGAGCGGAAGGTCGCGGGTTCGATCCCCGACCGCGTCATACCAAAAGACGTTAAAATATGGTACTTGTTGGTCCCTGTCTGGCGCTCGGCATTAATAGGTACAACAAGGACTGGTAGGCTCGGAGTCAGTATAATGTGTCTGAGTGGGGTATTCATGCTTCACTGCGGTATGGTATCTCAGTGGGCTAGCCCTATAAAACCAGCTTCAGTCTGGGCTATTACAAGCAGCCGCACATACACATACACACGCATGCACGTCGTCATATGAGCGAAATATTCTCAAGCACGACGTTAAACCCAATTTCACCTCACCTCACCTCGAATGTTGGTTGTTACATCACGGAAACCCAAGGACTACTGAAGGATGCTTTGTGGGATAATATAGACTTCTGTGGTAGTTAATGTAGAAATACAGTCTTGTTTATCCTTAACAAATATTTAGAAGGAGGAAATGGTTGATCGAGTGGTCTGTACTTCCTGTGTCATCAACACAACATAAATAAACATGGTTATACTAACGTAAATAGAATATATTTTCATAAGGGCCTTTTGCCATTTGTGATCAATACATGCCATAAGGGCCCTTTGGGACGGTGGGGTAGCCTGGTGGTTTAAGCGTTTGCTTGTCATCCTGAAAACCCGGGTTCGACTCCCCACATGGGTACAATGTGTGAAGCCTATTTCTGGTGTCCCCCTGCCGTGATATTGCTGGAATATTGCTAAAAGCGGCGTAAAACCAAACTTACTCACTCACTCATTCACTCATAAGGGCCCTTGATGTTTTCAATATGCCAATTCATATTTCATTGTGCAATAGCATGGTCCAAAATGATCCCTGGGATATCTATAGGAGGGTAGGGAAGAGTGAAAGATGTGGTTTTATTGTGTCCAGTATATTTGACAGTAGGAGGCCAGGCTGATTGTAATAGATAACTGCCATGGAGATTGGATGACCAAGCCTGTCACAGTTACCTTCGTGGGATTGTAAGACATTGTTCTAGATTAAAGTTAGCACTTTACAGGGCAAGGAAAGTTGATGTGGGTATTGGATGACCACAATGGTTTGTCTGTCATGGCCGGGCTGTATCTGCGTGCCATTCTGCATTGCAACATACTGTTTAACTTGTTTACCACAACTGAATTGATCATTCTGTCTTTTGTGTGAGTGTTGATGTAATGTATTTTATTGCCATCAAATCTAACCACATGATCTGTTTCTTTTTGCAGTACCTAGACACATTTGATTTGTCCCCTAATTTTAGTGAAGAAGAATTTCGACATTGGTTCATTCCCAGGAATGGAATAGTTGATAGCTATGTTGTAGAAGTAAGTATAATTCTTGATAACTCTTTCCTGTTTACATGTTTATGCCAGACATAATGGACCCATGAAGATCCAGGTTAGAATTGATCTTCAGTAACCCATGCTTGTCGTAAGAGGCCACTAACGGGATCGGGTGGTCAGGCTCGCTGACACGTGTCATCGTATCATAATAGATCAATGTTCATGCTGTTAATCACTGGATTGTCTGGTCCCCAGATTCTATTATTTACAGACCACCGCCATATAGCTGGAATATTGCTGAGTGTGGCATAAAACTAAGCTCACTCACTCACTCACTCACTCACTCCAGACATAATGTGTTTTTGTCATTTTGTCATCATTGCATTATTGTTCATCTGTATGTTCCGTCCCATGGGCACCCTGTTATGAATAGGTCCCAAGCTCCCCTTTATTAGCTCTTAGATACGAAAATTGCCCAGTTCGATTGTGGGGTCGAATATTGTCACAGCATCAGACAGGGATTTACATGGAGTCCTGTATTTGAGAGTCCCTGGAACTCATACTCTTAATTTTCAGGGGTCCTGGACAACAAAATGGGGGTCCCAGACACTTAAATATGATTGTTAATACTGTTATTGTATTGTGTATCATGATCATCACATTGTTGCAAATAATACTATAACCCAGCTAGTAGCAAACTTAGTGATAACTTATTGTCACTTGATTTGAATTTTACAAAAAAGAATTTGTACTTTTTTAGTCTCTGCTAATGAATTTTGTTTGCTTCCTTTGTCAATTTTTATGCATAAAGGATGCAGGAATTGGCGTCCTGTAAATCCCTGATCAGATGTCTTCATGTTGTGATGGAGTGGCACCTGTAAAGATGCAGGTTAGATTTGGTCTTCAGGAACCCATGCTTGTTGTAAGAGGGTCATTGCTTTAACTCTGAAATGTTTGGTAGTACAGGTTGTCAGGATATGGCTGGAGTATTGCTGACTGCAACTTCTGATAGCTTCACTACTCATAGGTTGTGTCCCTTTCTCTGTCAGGATCAACTGGTCATATATTTTGTTATTCCCTCGGACAAATTCAAGGAAAAGGCCGGCATATATTGCCAGATCTCTCTCTCTCATTATATTTATTGTTTTACTGATCTTTAGTTAAGACATGTCTGATTGTTGTTGTGTGCAGGTTGATGGGACAGTTACGGACTTTGTGAGTTTCTACACGCTGCCCTCCACTGTGATGCACCACCCCCAGCACAAGTCCCTCAAGGCAGCCTACTCCTTCTACAACGTAGCCCACAAGACGCCCTGGGTAGATCTCATGCAGGACGCTCTTATAGTAGCTAAAAATGTAAGTCGCTTACCACATAGCAATAAAGGAGGAAAGATAAAGGCATTGATATTGTCATTGTTTTATGTTTCCAGTTTTTTATATGCAGGACCTTTAGTCATGTCTCCAGTACTTGTGTTAGTCTTGACAAGGGCAAATGAAGATCATGTGACCAAAGTGTGTTTGGATGATGGTCTTTCTGATGACAATGTTTAAGGGTGCTGGGACTTAAGCTTTTTGTTCAAGACAGAATATTTGTTTCTGTCACTTCAGCAAGATATGCCAATCTTTTTTTTCCGTGAGGAGGAAACGGCAATATTTTTAAACCCATAAGACAATAAGCTAAAACATGTAGTTTTGGTATGCATAGTTTACACAAGATAGATGTCATTTGCTGTATCTCAGTTTAGTGCAGAGTATATCAGAAACTACAGAAGCTGAATGTGTCTGTCGGTTGATTGCAGGTTGGCTTTGACGTGTTCAACGCCCTGGATCTAATGGACAACAAGGAGTTCCTGGAGAAGCTGAAGTTCGGGATCGGTGATGGCAATCTTCAGTATTACTTGTATAACTGGAAGTGCCCGGCAATGGACACAAGGCGGGTCAGTAAATGGTAGCTCTGGAACTACATTGTTGGGGGCTTTTTTTGTACGTTGGAAGGTCATGGGCAGTTCTATCAGTCCTGGAAAATTCTCTAAAGAATGATTCAATGTGCCATGTACTTATCTGACAAAATTGGTTTTGTTGGCACATTGGCAACTGAGAATTGATAGACACAGCTGTCAGTCGGCTGGCGTGTCATGGCACCCAGTGGTGTTCCCCATAGTGTAATGGTATCCAGTGGTGTTCACCATAGTGTGTCATGGTATCCAGTGGTGTTCACAATAGTGTGTCATGGTATCCAGTGGTGTTCACCAATAGTGTGTCATATTACCCAGTGGTGTTCACAATAGTGTCATGGTATCCAGTGGTGTTCACCATAGTGTGTCATGGTATCCAGTGGTGTTCACCATATGTGTCATGGTGTTCCAGTGGTGTGTGTCATGGTATCAGTGGTGTATCCAGTGGTGTAGTGTCATGGTATCCAGTGGTGTTCACCATAGTGTGTCATGGTATCCAGTGGTGTATCCAGTGGTGTCCACCATGGTGTCATGGTATCACCATAGTGTGTCATGGTATCCAGTGGTGTTCACCATAGTGTGTCATGGTATCCAGTGGTGTTCACCATAGTGTTCATGGTATCCAGTGGTGTTCACCATAGTGTGTCATGGTATCCAGTGGTGTTCACCATAGTGTGTCATGGTATCCAGTGGTGTTCACCATAGTGTGTCATGGTATCCAGTGGTGTTCACCATAGTGTGTCATGGTATCCAGTGGTGTTCACCATAGTGTGTCATATTAACCCAGTGGTGTTCACCATAGTGTGTCATGGTACCCAGTGGTGTTCACCATAGTGTGTCATGGTATCCAGTGGTGTTCACCAATAGTGTCATGTCATGGTACCCAGTGGTGTTCACAATAGTGTGTCATGGTACCCAGTGGTGTTCACCATAGTAGTGTGTCATGTTCACCCAGTGTCAGTGTGTTCACAATAGTGTGTCATCACCCAGTGGTGTTCACAATAGTGTGTCATGGTACCCAGTGGTGTTCACCATAGTGTCATGGTATCCAGTGGTGTTCACAATGTGTACCCAGTGGTGTTCACAATAGTGTGTCATGGTACCCAGTGGTGTTCACCCAGTGGTGTGGTGTTCACCAATAGTGTGTCATGCTCAGTGTGTTCACAATAGTGTGTCATGGTACCCAGTGGTGTTCACCATAGTGTCATGGTACCCAGTGGTGTTCACCATAGTGTGTCATGGTACCCAGTGGTGTTCACCATAGTGTGTCATGGTACCCAGTGGTGTTCACAATAGTGTGTCATGCTCAGTGCCAGTGGTGTTCACAATAGTGTGTCATGGTACCCAGTGGTGTTCACAATAGTGTGTCATGGTACCCAGTGGTGTTCACCATAGTGTGTCATGGTACCCAGTGGTGTTCACCATAGTGTGTCATGGTACCCAGTGGTGTTCACCATAGTGTGTCATGGTACCCAGTGGTGTTCACCATAGTGTGTCATGGTACCCAGTGGTGTTCACATAGTGTGTCATGGTACCCAGTGGTGTTCACAATAGTGTGTCATGCTCAGTACCCAGTGGTGTGGTGTTCACAATAGTTCGTCATGGTGGTACCCAGTGGTGTTCACCATAGTGTGTCATGGTACCCAGTGGTGTTCACCATACCCAGTGGTGTTCACCATAGTGTGTCATGGTACCCAGTGGTGTTCACCATAGTGTGTCATATTACCCAGTGGTGTTCACCATAGTGTGTCATGGTACCCAGTGGTGTTCACAATAGTGTGTCATGGTACCCAGTGGTGTTCACCATAGTGTGTCATGGTACCCAGTGGTGTCACAATAGTGTGTGGTACCCAGTGGTGTTCACCATAGTGTGTCATGGTACCCAGTGGTGTTCACCATAGTGTCATGGTACCCATGGTGTTCACCATGTGTGTCATAGTGGTGTTCACCCAGTGGTGTTCACAATAGTGTGTCATGGTACCAAGTGGTGTTCACCATAGTGTGTCATGGTACCCAGTGGTGTTCACAATAGTGTGTCATGGTACCCAGTTGTGTTGACCATTGTTTATGCTGTCAACACTAATTTGCTGCAGTATGCTGAAATTGTCATGGTATCAACTGGCGTTGCTGAAATTGTCATGGTACCAACTGACGTTCCCCACTCGTTGCACTATGAACACAGACTGACTGACTGCTCATTGCTTATATTGTCTTATTGTACTGCTCTTTGTAGGTCATCGTTGTGTTAACCCTTCTGTCTTTGTCAACAGGTTGGCCTGGTGCTACAGTGAGTCTGGTGTTTAATGAGGGATGATTGGGACACAGTGTAAGCTGCCTTGGCAGCCTTGGTATCATCCAGTAAGCAGTGACATGACCACTAGGTGGCGCTGCTTGCCAGCTTCTCATGTGATAGTGCTCTCCTCGCTTCTCTCCCCTTGGCCATGTTGTATCCATCAACAAAGATGCTTCCATTCTTGGAGACCGATGCTTGATCAGATTCTTCGATTCATGTTAATATCAGACTACTGATAGTAAGATCAGGATTATTAGGTTTGGATTGACAAGACACTGAACAGATTATGTAGCTATTACTTGCAAAAAATATTGTTCTGATTGTGTATGAGTGGTTATTACCATCTAACCATAATAGTCATCGTCATCATCATCATCGCATCATCCACAAGCACCGGCATTAAAAACACTACCCCACGAGATTCACCATGGAAACAGTTGCTGTAATTTCATAGGAGAACTCTTTATTTTGTTCTTATTTTAGTATTTTCATACTAAAGCAATGCATTTATATAATTTCAACTTCTTAGACACTGATTCTGTCAATCAGTGCACAGGTTCTTCTATAATCAAATGTCACCCTGTAATTTGGAACTAGTCTTTTCCTAAGCTGTTTTGAATGCAGATTTTTGAGGTGCAAATTTGTTTATAGTTTTGCTATATTCTATGTGATACACTGTGTGAATGTCTAAAATATCTCTATTGAGATAAAATGGTGAGAATAGATGAATTTGTTGTGAAATTGTGGAAACAATAATGATAATGTATGTTCTGATCTACGTAACTTTATTTCAAAGGTCAGTTTAATTATGCAAACTTGGTTTGTAAGGTTCAGTTTATTATTGTGCTAGATAATCATGACAAACCCAGTAATTAACCAACTGGAGAGCGAACTGTTTTCCCACAGATACCGGTAACACTCCCAATGATGTACAGTTGATATTTATGTCCCAATGTTGTTAGCAACACAAACATGGCTTTGTGTTCGAGAATATTAAGGAGCACTTATCATTTGTATTATATACATTTTGTCGATCAAAACCGTGATTGTGTCAATACATAATCAGAATGAAGTAAAGCCCTGGTTGTCTTAATCCTGAATTGGAATAAAGAGGAGAATGAATTATTCACATAATTATTGTTCTTTACACAAAGAAAGGATCTTTTAGGAAGAAATGGCATCTTGGTTTTTGCATCATTTCGTAATGAAAGTTAAGGTTTGTGACATCACAATGGACTCGTCAGTCCAACTCTATTGTCCGTTTGGCTCAAAAAGGGACCAATGAATTGCAATCTGACTCGAAAACTAATAAACATATAAAACTCAATGAAACACTGTTCATAATCAAAAGATCAGACCGAATCTGTGATTTTTTTGCAGAATTTATGTCCCAAAAATAAAAAAGTTGTTTAACAAACTGTCATTAAAGTTTTGACACAGTTCATTATTTGTTACGAGGGAGGAGTGCAATGAGAGGAACAGCCAGGTGTATGTGAAGCACGTACACAAGTGCTGATAAAGGTATTGATTCATTTACCTGGGCTGTGGCGTCTCCATCCTTTCTCTCACACCTGGCTGTTTATCTCTGTGCATTCCACCCTCGTAACAAATAGTGAACTGTGTAAATAGTTTAATGATACAGTCTGTCTAAACCGGCACTCATCGGGACTGAAGATATAATCCGGTTTATACAGTGTGCCAGATTGTAGAGCTGACACAGTTACCTACAACTAGAACTGGACCAGCTTTGTCACTCTCATATACATTGTTGTATCTCGTGGTTCTCTCAACTACTGCACACACTGACAATAGAACATGTCAACTCACTATTACATGTACAAGTACACCCATACTGAACTAAGATTAAATTATCTTTGTCGGCAGCCATGTAGTTGTAACGCAGGATTAATTAGTGACAATACACACTCGGCCAACTCCTCGTCACGTGCCGGATTAGACAGCGCTGATTACTGTATAAACATATCCGGGCGGCTCATTTTATGCCGAGATCCGGAATTGACAGCTGCTGGATTGCAGAACTTTTAAATGATGATAAATGCACTAGCCATGGACAGGACTGAGATTTTATGCCGGTTTTGACAGCTTCCACTGTAGTTTGTTAAACTTTTTATTTTTAGGACATAAATTCTGCAAAAAAATCACAGAGTTGGTCTGATGTTTTGATTATGATCAGTGTTTCATTGAGTATTATATGTTTATTAGTTTTCGAGTTAGATTTCAATTCATCGGTCCGCATTTGAGCCAAACGGACTATAGTAGAGTTTATTTGTATTCAGTATTATGCAAGAGCTTACACCTCCAGCATGTAAGAAATTTTGCCAATATGAATATATAAATTATTGGGAACATTCTTGCAAACATTCCCTGTGCCAGTTTCTTTTGCTTAGAAAATGTATGTACCCTCTGCAATTTTTGACAAGGCACAAAGGTGCTTGCATTTAAGTGACTGAGAAACTCAAGGAATAATGACTGTGTACCAAGAACCTGATTGAAATGTGACGCACGTTTATGAATTATATGGTGGTCTGATTGCTCTAGCAATTCTTCTCAAGGATGGAGACTTCATACATTACCTTGGCAGTGACTGATGAACAGTCCGAGCCAACTGGTGTCTGCATGGAGTCGTACATCAGTGCTACAGAGGAATCAGATTAGTTTTTATCTAGCTATAACTTGTGTATAATATTCTCCAACACTGTTAATGTGTGTCATTAATATTAAATGTTTTGTAAACATACTCACCTGTGTTGTTTTTTCTCATGTGATTTTGAAACTGCCATATTTACTGTACAATTTTGAACATTATATCATATTTTGAAAGGAGCTGCATTTATTATATATATATATTATATAGTAATAGGCTCCGTCCGTCCGTCCGTACGTACGAATTGGAATATCTTAAGAACCGTTCACTAGATTCTTTTCATATTTGGTACCTAGGTTCATCACAGTATAAGAAAGGTCCAAGTCAGGTTTGGTGACCTTGACCTTCATTTCAAGGTCACAAGGGGACTTTCACGTTTTACCTGCATGTTAAGCTATCTCAAGAACCGTTCACTGGATTTTCTTCATATTCAATACAAAGCTTTATCTAGGGAAGGTGCAGGGCCCAGTCGATTTTGGTGACCTTCACATAATTTTCAAGGTCACAGAGACACTTTGAAGATTTCAGCATATTAACCTGCAGGTTATGCTTGTCAGCGAGATACCTCAAGGACCATTCACTGGAGTTTCTTCATATTTGACACCAAGCTTCATCCAGGGAAGGCGCAGGGCCCAGTCACTTGGTGACCTTCACTTAATTTTCAAGGTCACAGCGACCTTAATATCAAGAGAGGTTGATTGGTCATGTTTTTGTTGACATTTAACTTAAACTTTCATTACTTTATAAGTTTGATTTGATAATTTGTGGCGGGGGATTATGTCACCTTAGTGACAATGCTTGTTGACAGTTGAAATGCTTAAAAATTTCAACATGACAACTTTAAATGTTAATGATAAGGACTACCGTCTACCGATATATAATTTTGCAGATTTGTAAGGAAAGATTAATCATTCTTTATCACAGCCACTTGTCAAACTAAGAGATATATAGTTCTATATTTTCCCCTCAAGTTTGTTAAGAAATTCACAGTAGTTTAAGAGTCAAGCCTCAGTATATTTTTCATGCTTTTTCTCTTGACAGAAGCCCAGTGAGCTTGAAATGTGTATATGTATAACACTGTAAACCACTATGAGGGATACAGTATATGATTGGAATCACCATCACATGAGATGGAAGTCTGTACCGTGTCACTCCAACAGCTGCATCAAGCAAGCCATCTGTCCTGGCAGTCACAATCCACCTATTCTCCCTATTGCCCTATTTGTTTGTTGTTTAATGTCACATTCAGCAATATTCCAGCTATATGGCAGCTGTCTGTAAATAATCGAGTCTGGACCAGACAATCCAGTGATCAACATAATGAGTGTCGATCTACGCAGTGGAGATAATGTCAACCAAGTCAGTGGCCCTATTTGTAAAGATTAAGTATAATCCATGTAAAGGAAGGAAAGGGGACACCAACATCACTGCGGTTCATGAACAGACAGCAAGAACTTCAGCTTATATTAGAACGTTTCAAGAGTCCATGCAATGGGGAAAATCTTGTTGAGGCTCATCACACAGAAACAACAGGAAGTCCACTAAGTCTGATATTTCTGTGGTTCTGACAGCACTAAGCATTTATCATAATCAAAAACCAGACTACTGGAATTGTGTTAGCAGAAATAGTTATGTAGAAAATTTCCTTTGTGCAATTATGGAGGCTAATTAGTCATTGAACAAGTGAGAAATTAATAAATAAAAAGGAGAATACGAGTGAATTGCAATAATATGCTGGGTGAAAGATAGTCATCAGAAACATATTCCCAAATTTTAAATTAAAAATTATGTATAATCATGTTTTAATCGCGAAAACAGTTTCTGAAAATGTCAGCATCGGCCATTATGCATATTTCGCAAGAACCCACGTGACCTTTCCGCTCGTGACGTCAAATATGCCTGGAGTCCGCCATATTGCCAAAGACCAAGAGCTACAGTAGTACAAATCGTGTTGTTTCTGTCGTTCTTTTAAATGGTACGATGGTGTATTGCATTGCCTGGGGATGCACGGCATCATCGAACATGGGAAAGAACCACCATTTCTTCCGTTTTCCAAGTGAAATGGCAGTTTTCGGCAGGAGAAATGTGCCGATCATTCCGAGTCGGACGCATATGAAAGAGACATGCACACATGGGGTATGGAAATCCCCAAGCTAGGCTGAAGCAGGAAAAAGTATCCACGAGATTCATTTATTCTCCATCATTCCCTGTAACAACTTACTGTCAGTGGTATTTTTAACATAAATTAAATCAAGTCCGGTTGCCAGTCGAATTGCCCCCGCTACAAAATGACCCAGCAAATTTGGTCAAATTGCCCCAGTGGGGTAATCAAAATGCCCCAATTTATTTAAAATGAATAAATATAGGCCATAAATGCATAGTTTTGTCAACTTTGATATTATGTTCTTCATATATAAGTATATACATAGTTATGAGTTTACTAATGAAACATTTATCAGAAATATTACTTACTAATAACTTTTATATGAAGAACATAATATCATAATAAGTTGACAAAAACTATGCATTTACGGCATATATTCAATCATTATAAATAAATTTGAACAAATTAGAATGAATGACCAAATTTGGCTGGGCATGTTGTAGCTGGGGCAGTTCGACTGGTCCACATGAGATATATATTATCAAAATCAGTAAGTGATTTGACATGAGCTTGAAAATGTTGCTATAACGTTCTTTCGGTTTGGAGCCCTTAATGATGCAGTCTACTCGAAACATTTCCGAATACAACGGCAAATCATGAAGTACTTGTTGCTTTCATATTTTTCCATTTTGTCCAATTACGCACGTCAGAATCAGACTCGCTATTAGTCAGTAGTGTGTGCCGTGAAAGTTATTATGTATTCTCATTGGCTGACAAGATGTCATTCTACTGACTGACTGAGTTTGGTTTTACGCCGCTTTTAGCAATATTCCAGCAACATCACGGCGGGGAGATGTCATTCTAAAACTATGACCGAGTACTATAACTAATTCCATAACCAAACAATGGGGAAACATACGTTGTCCTGACTAGTATTTTATAATTCACCAGTTTTAGGGGAATAACTTATAATATTATCTCTGCTCGACCAGGCTGGGATCTTGTATCGAGACTTGATACGTTATTAATGAGAACTAGGATCCTAACTTTTTTCAACAAAATAATTCCAGTGTAATTTTTGAAGCAGATGAGTTTAATTTCCCTCGTCTGAAGCATAATTATGTTGTTTTTAAATCCCAGACACCCTACAGTCACCCATTTGACACAAAATGAACTGTAATCACATTTAAAAAAAAAAATTCTTAGTGACTGGTCGTATATTTATAGGGGTGAGTTTGCTGGCTGGAACTGTGTGACATTTTGCTGACAAATAGTAATCTTGTTAAATGATATGGTCTATTTTTAAATATATTTTGACCTCAAGCGGTGCCTCCGTTTCGCTTGATTCTTCTTCATCTTCAGAGGAAGATTGTTTTGCAAGATGTAAAATCGGATCGTATTGATACGGTCTAACATCCATTTCAGAAATGACATCAGGAACATCTTTTACTGCTTCAGAAACCACGGACACTGTTAAGTTGTGAGGTAAAATCAAAGAGAAAGCCATCAGCAACAGGCACTTATGACGTCATGTCACGTGATACCCCCTCTGCTCATTAACTTTCAGGGTGTTTCCGTAATAGGCGGAAATACGAGTACGTTTTTGTGTGTTTTTATTGCTATTTTACAAACTTTTTGTTCAATTTTAATCACGGAATGTGACTTTTAGAATATCCTTTACAATATATCAAAAGTTTTGTTTTCGTTCGTATTCTCCTTTAATTTTTTAAATGTAGCATAATGAGTTGTATATGGTGTTAAATAGAAGTTATCAATGGACTAATTTGGAAACACCCTTGGACTATAAACTGGATAAAGAGATCCTTTCAGCTAAACATCTTGATTTACCCTGAAAAAGAGTTGACTGTCACGATGGCAAAATATGAACAGGTCTTCCCTTGCAAGGAGCCACAAACAGGATGATTAATAACACTGCTGTATTTGTCAAGTTTGTTACACTTCCAATAGATAAGGAGAAAGAGGTTGCAGTCAAGAATTTTGCTCTCATATATCAATGTACATGTACATGGGTGGCGTTGAGTACAAGTCCATACTAATGTCTGTTACAAAGTGCTATCCAACTGACATACCATACTGCAGTTTAACATGCATACCTCATTCTGACAGCTCCAAGCCCTCTAGTCCTTGTAACATGTTATATTTTGGGGTACACTTTCACAAAAAGAACAGATTCTAGTACATTTTTGTCATAAGAGGCGACCAATGGAATCAGGTGGTCAGGCTTGGTTGACACATGTCATCGTATCCCAATTGCGCAGATCTATGGTCATGCTGTTGATCACTGGATTGTCTCCTCCAGACTAGATTATTTACGGACCGCTGCCATATAGCTGGAATATTGCTGAGTGCGGCGTAAAACTAAACACGTACATTTTGGGTAGAGTCCCATCTGGGATTTGATCCCACACTCTCAGGGTCAGGTAGCTAATTCCCAGCACCCACTTGGCCACTGCAGCTTCCACAAAAAAATGGAGTGAGTCAGTTTAGTTTTACGCTGCTTTTAGCAATATTCCAGCAACATCGCGTCAGGGGATACCAGAAAAGGGCTTCACACATTGTATCCATGTGGGGAATCGAACCCGGGTCTTTAGCGTGACGCTTTAAACACTAGGCTACCCCACCGCCCCCACAAAAAATGGAAGTCAGACAAATGGCAGTTTAGATCATGAACTTTGTGTACTTTCTAAATAGCAACGTTGATTCATAGCTTTTGTCAGTGGGAGCCGTGCCAATTTACATTTGTCAGATGGGTACACAAAGTATGTAATCTTAACTACCAATTGTCAGACTTCCATCGCGGTGGCGAGTGGGTTAGATCACTGACTTTTTTGTGTATATTACATTTGACCACTTTCTAAATGGCATACCTCAAGCCCTTGTCTCTATCCCCTTAATGATGACAGACAGGCAGGGTAATAAGGAGTACCATCTTTTAATCTCCTTGTATGACTCATCTGGAGATCAACCAACCAACTGCTCACTGGACACATATCTAAAAGGATTCAACATAAAACCTGCCTGATGTGCTGAAAGTATTGTAACATTCTCTCAGATTCTGTACAGAACAGCTATTACACTTTAGCAATACACTGAATTGACTGAATAGTGATTCAGTTGATCTTCATGTAGCTTTTAGCAGTATTCCTGACACAACACTGGGTAACATCATCAAGGAGCTTCACACATGGTTCCAAGGTGTGAGAATCAAACCCAGGACTGTGGCTTAATAAGCCAGGCTTCAAACACTAGACTACTCCACTTTCTCCATGACATCTCTCAACTTTCTTTGGCCTTCTTCTGTTGTGGAACCTTTTCCGCTATAAACTGAAACAGAATCTTGCATGATTAGCTGCCTTCACAAGGATTATTCTCATAATAAACAAGCATGTTTTTCACTTCATTATGTGCACATCACAAAAGTCTATATGCTCATAGTGATTTCTATGACTGCCAAAGAAACAGAATTTCGGCAATTGATCCAAGAGTAGTATCTTGTGACCATTTCCATAAAATCAGACCTGACAATCTCCCCCATAGACTTCATATTGGGCAAACCCTTAGAAAACTTTGACTGCAAAGTATAAGCAGATGATGCTTCAAGTTATTTGGACCCTAACGAGACAATGTATACAGTCCACAAATACTCCCATGGCAGGTGTATAAATTATTTTCCATTCTCGACTCCAGGTTGTTATTAACATTCAACATCAAGAAACCTGAAATCAGTATGCCTTTTTGAATACTTTTCCTGCTTGTATCAGGAGTTTAGAAGCCTGAATGGTTAATTTGTAAGCCTGACCCACCTTTGAGATGCGCTTCCTGATGTCTTTCACAGTTTGATTGACAGCCTTCTGGGCACCAGGATGAACTTTGACTGTCTGATCACCTTTTCCTGGCATGGTAGGGCCCTGTGTGTCGGCCAGAGTAAACGCATTCACACGGATCTGTTTGTTCAAAGCATCACTCTCAGGCCTCGGTTTGGGTGATTCTCCAACTGTAACACCAGTCTTTTTCAGTGCCTGTCTTGGAATAAACTTGGGAACTTTGCCAGTTTTCTTGTATTCTCTAACTATCAAGCCATTCACTACCTTTTCACCTGACTTAGGCTTATCAACCTTTTTCTCTTTTGACTCTTCATTACTGTCCTTGGTCTGTTGATCAAATCTGTCCATATTTTGGTCATTCCTTTGCCCCTGAACCCCAGGGTCACGTGACCATGCAAGAGATTCTGATTGGTCAGTTCTACCATCGTAATTACTTGGTAAGGTAGCATGGGAGCTTTGAACCCAGGCATATTCATACCTACTGTGAGCAGGCGGCCTAAATCCTGAAGGCCCCCTATCCACTGGAGGGGGAGGTAACCACAATTTGTCAAAAGAGACAGAGTTAATTTCTCCTTGGTGCTCTGATGACTCGAACCCTGTGCCTTGATAGGCTGGTTGAGATCTGTTGCCACTTGGTTGGATAATTTCTTCTGCACATATATTTGTAAGTTCATGATGAATCACACAATCCAAAAGATATTTAATAAATTTCAAAATGGTTTTCTTAAAGTGATACCATAAAACCACTGATAGTCTGGGGAAACAGATTTTAACATAACATTTGGAGAATTCTCAATTCTGTTCTGCTTCAAATAACAGCCTGTGTGAGTGAGTGTGTGTGTATTTATGCTGTTTCAGCAATATTCTAGTAATATGACAGAAGGGACAACAGAATTGGGCTTCAAAACATTGTACCCATGTGGGAAAGCAAACCCAGCTCTTCAAAATGACAAGCAAAAACGTGAACCACCAGGCTACCCCACCACCACTCAACAGAAACAAGGACAAGATCACAACTACCACTGATACAAGTTCAGGGAATAGATCATTCATTTCCACTTCTTTGTAAACGTCATGTGGCTACACTATACATACAATTAAGTTTTCACACAAATTCAGTTCCAAGTATTTTAATTTGGAGCCAGTGTGTGATAACAGAGTTGCAATAAGCTACATTATCTGTCATCTTCCTTTTACAGTTCACAATGTAAGCTATACATCAAAATACATTCTTGAATTTGATTTCGTTTTGAAATTACTTTTGGCTGATTATACCTGACATAATAAATGAAGTAGAAACAGAACTGTTATGTTTTTATGACTAGTTCAGAGTTGGATAAGACAAGGCCTGAAGGGTACATATTATTTGCTATAACAGCCACCTGGCAAACTGGATCTTCTTGAATTTGAATAAGTAGACCTCTGTAAACTCCTCAGCAGGGTAGTCATCAAGGATCCTGTATTCCTCGATTGCACCATATACTGCAAACAACTTGACAAGCTCCTCCACAGCCCCCTACAGCGGGGACCCCTTGGACTAGCAGATACTTGGACTCCTGGTTAACAGTGTAAACCTGGAACATAAGGCGAGTCACAGTTATACTCTTATTTCAGAAGTCATCAACATTGGGAAATTTGAGTTTACAGAACTTTGTCGAACTTGAAACAAAAATCTCCATTCATCTATGGAAGTTTCTGTTGTAAGGAACTTGACCTTCTTGATTCACCAAGAATTCCCAAATTTAAACTATCTATGGCAGAGTAAGGTTTTACAACACTTTTAGCAATACTTGAGCAATATCATGACGGGGGACAACTGAAATGGGCTTCACACATTGACCCCAAGAGTGGAATTGAACCCTGGTCTTCGGCGTGATGAGCAGATGCTTTAACCACTTGGCTACCTCACCATCCCACTGCCTACATTGCAGATAATGAATTTTTGAACAAAAGCATGTCAGTAATGGAAAACCCCACCAGAGACGGACAATTGACCCATATTAGCATGTATGAGTGCGGCCCACTGGTGCTTGCCATTGTTAGCGAAGGGGTTCCAGGTTGTCCGCGATCAAGTGTAGTGCGACTTCTACACCGACGTGAGAGTCTCATGAGCAAGGCGTGTGCAACTACGCGCGGAATAAATTTCATCGTCATGCAATGCACGCGCACTAGCCTATATCTGCTCTACCTTTCACAAACCAAATGTGTTTGCTCATTGAAATTTTTGTTTGTCAGTATGTGTTACAACCTACAGTTATCAGTGGCCATGGCATTATGCCAGGTAAATGTATCATACATTAATATATTACTGTATAGTATAAGGTTACAGTCACAAAACACTGAAAAATATTTTCTAAGAATCTCTATTCGGCCCTTTCATTTACAAGACACCTGCAAAGGATTCGTGAAACCATAGTTCAGCCAGCTAAACGTCGTGTTCCTACCAAGGTATAGTCGGTGTATACCTTAGTAGGAACACGACGTTTAGGGTCTCCCTAATCTGAATGACGAGTGACAGCGAATGACGAATGACAAATGTATTTTTGCACAATGAAGCCTCCCAGTCCCGTACACCCTTTCAAAACACCGTGTGACAAATTTATTTAGCTTATCTGTAAACAACAACATTCAATCATCGGCAGAATGCTATATTTATTGACACCAACAAATAAGAAATTATGGCAATTTTTTTACTCTGTTTCTACACATAATTGTATACGCCAACACTAAAATTTCGAAGAGATCAGCCGTTTGGCGGCCACATTATATCTAAGGTCAAGGTCATTCGTACAACCTGTGTAGTAGTGACAGATTTGATGGGGTGTACAGTTCCTACACCCTGGCAAATCCGCCTACATGGTTTGGTATGCTTTGGCTTTTGACAAATCAGAATTTGACACATTTATCTTAAGGGTAATAAAGGGACTTACGGGCGATTCACACACGCACGGATGTGGTTCCCTATACCTGCCTTCTACTTTGTGGCAGGGAATGATAATGAGCAGAATATTTGTAATGTGTTAAAACAAACCAGCTCTCAGACAAACTGTAGCATTCTCTTTCCACTGTCATCATCATTACTAACTGCAGTTTGAACTGCTATTATGTGGTAACACATACCTGTGCTAGCACATGTGCAAGAAGATGGTAAAGGGAAAAGTTTAACAGCATTGACACCTTTGCCATTCACATTTAACACCGAGAAAGATGATGTCTGTGGTGAAAATCCAATATGACCTTTCTCAATGCAGATCCCTGTAAGAACTCTCAAGAAAACAATAGCTTCTTGCCTCTGAATTTCTCTTTTCGGTCATAATTTCCAATTCCCTGAAGTGCTCTTGTAAATTCATACAAGTAAAAGTTCTGAAGATAATAAAGTCTCAAAACAAGAGCATCGATCGGCCATTCTTTCCATCCTGTCTGTTGTTTAATAACTCTGTTGAAGGATTCGCTCATGTTGTTTGTAATTCCTCCTTCGAACACAGCACACTGGGAAGTTATGAAGTTGCATCCATGTTGCAGCAGGCCATGTTTGAGATAAATTTCAACATACTCCAGAAAAGCTTTTGTCCAGGTAACATGAAGCAGATCATACATATTTTGGAAATCTGCTTTTGTGTTTGTATTAAGGAGTCTCTCAATATCACCTTTCAAGACTTTAATATCATCCTTCCGGCCTCCTTTTCGTTTAACCCAGTTTTCTACATCATGTAAAATGTGATTTCTGCATAACACATTAATCAAACCAGGATATTTATCCTGCAAAGGACCAGTAATTCCCTTCTCCCTGTCTGTCATAACTGGAATGTTTGGAAAAGCACAGTCACCTTGTATCAGTTTAATTGCCTCAAGCAAAAACTCAGCATGGTCCTTTTCTAACTTCCTTTCATGTATAAGGAACATTACTGGAAATATGGGGTCACCCTCTAGTAAGATGTTTCTCATTACAAGAGGAGACACATAAAATCACCCAGATTAAATGTGGTGTCATAAGACAACAACTGTGGCAAGGTTTTATCTTTAGCACTTTCTTTCATGAGGTCTTTGGCAAAGGCAATTGCACTGGTGTTTCCTACATACACAAGCAAGTGAGGCAACAGTGTCATTTTATGGATGAACCCAGTATGTAGGCCAAGTTCATATAAGCTAAAGAGCTCATCGTTGCAGAGTTTCTTTTCACCACGATAACAGAGACAGACATTTTCTACTTGCTTCTTACTCCTGGGACAAGCAACTGGTATGCTGGGCATAGGATGTGCAGGAGAGTGTTCATGCAAGTGTTTATACAGATCTTGCGGCATCTTCAAATCTGCTTTATCATGTATGTCAGCAAAACCCGATTTCTTAGTTGCAATGAATACTTTTGTACTGTGCTTGCTGTTTCTATGTGGTGAATCTTTAGCAAGGGATGCATTGCCGAGGTAATGGATAAGGAACACTCCATTGTTTTCTTCACTGAGACAGTAAACAAGTCTCTTGAATCCTGCGAGAGAATCTTTACTCTTGCCATTTGGATCTTTTATGTAGTAGTACCGCTTAAGTACTGCATGCTTTTTCTTTCTGCTGGAATGATTATTCGAGCCTTTTGATATCCATCTATACTGGTCAAAACGAAAGTCCATTTTCTCATGGTCCCTTGTAGAGTCAGCTTTGTATATGTAAACATCACCTCCACAGGGTCTAACTGGGGGCTCAGAGATTAGGATGTCAGGCTTGGACACTGGAATATCATGAAGTAGCCGTTACATCTTTCTTGAATGGAGCTGGGGTTCTAGCTGACCAGCTGTCTCCTGTGTAAATAAGTTAAAGTATTTCTCAGACAACATCAAAAATATTTTAGAAGTTTACAAACATACACTGTTTATTTTCCACTGTCAACTGGATGTACGCACACTTTAATAAGGTAAATTACTGATGAATGTGACCATACTATACATCTACCACTAATACCAAAAAAACACATAAGTGATCCTGTGTTTCATCTTCTACTACTGTTATTCAAATTATCTGTTAAAAAACGGGTTGAGAAAAAAAATCAGCTAAGTGTAGCCTGTTTTGTGGGATAACTCAAACTTTCATACTTTGCTGAAGAAATATGAGTTGGTTGTTAAAGAAACAATATTATAAGTGTAGACCTAAATATGCATTGTATGCAACCCCATTGCTATCAACTGAAATGATAAAAAATCAACTATTTTTCTGTATCCTCACTCATACTTATTACTTATTATTATTCTCCTTTCTGATGGTTTAGTGGAAACTTGAATCCCTGCTCGAACCTGACAACTCTAGTATATACCCAGACTCTGAGGTATTATCGTGGATTGCAGACAGCATACCGATATCTATGCCAACACACAACTCGAACTCGGCCGAGACTCATTGCATTTTGGATGAGGATTTGGATACACTTATGGCCCTCCTATTAAACCAGTATCGCAAGTTGCATTGAATCTGTCAGCATTCGTGAATGCTTCTAGACATCAGAGTCAACATACGCCGATATTCAACGCAAGGAAGTTCCCTCTACACAGTATGGAACCTTTCTTCACAGCGCCAGAGATTGATGACAATTATCACATCATCAATGAATAGAAATGTCATTCCTACAAAGTGGAAGATAGGAGATTGGCGAGCTTCAACACAACTACTAGACGCACTTTCTTTGGGTTAGGCAGATCTAGAGCTATTAATGAAGCTCTTATCAACAACTTCCAGAACCCTAACATGGGGACTGAAAGAATGATTTTATCAGCACTCGTCACCCAGAAAAAGGATCATGAATTCAGGTCAGATCACTTGGCATCTACATCGGCAGGATTGACTTTACTTTGGCAACAAGGACTCCTCACACCCTGCAATTGGTCAGAATATCATGTCAAAACTCTGCTGCGCCAGCCTTGGGCAGCATCCACATTGTTTGATGGTAGCATTAGAGCAACACCACTGTAAGTATGCCAGCACAACAGAGATCAGATGCTCATCAGATCTATGAAGACGATGATTAAAATGTATCGACAATTGTCACGACGAGGTGAATTTCGTTTGAAATTCTCAGGCATACACAAGGCCAAGGATAAGAAAGCTACGAGCTTTTGCGGAGGCAAGTCTACCAGCTTTCGTCGATGACATGACAACTCCAGGGGTCGCTCCGGAAAAGGCCGCTCTTCAGGAAGCTCCCACTTCTCACATCAGTGAAGATCAGGTTCGGTTCGACTGATCTTCCCCCAGTGATACAGGTGGAACCTTCGACAGTGGGGGGACATCTAGGTTATTACTGGGAGAATTGGAGAATTCTACAAGACGGCTATGTTCTACAAGTGTTACGAGAAGGTTATGAGATTCAGCTGAAGGCGATACCACCTCTCACCATCACACCTCAGGTGCATCATTACCCAGTACTGCAACACATCAAATTGCGCATCAACTAGCACAGCAACTAAGACTTCAGCTAGAATTCACGATCCATCTACTAACTCAACTAGGCTGGTTCGTTAACAGGATGAAATCGGAAATAAAACCATCACAGCAACTAAGACTTCAGCTAGAATTCACGATCCATCTACTAACTCAA